GCCCGCGCCCATGACCTTGGGCGCGGGGGGGGGGGCCTGGGGACACGCGGCTGTGTGCCCTGAGCTGTGTCCCGCTCCCTCCTGCCCCCTTGCTCCTGCCTCCATTAACCCTTTGGAGCCCCCCTGCCCCCCTCCCACAGTCCAGGGCATCACAGAGACCTCTCCCCGCATCACAACCCAGCCCCTCTGGTGCCGCAGGGGTCCCAGGACCTGGCTCCACCCCCCAGACTGGAAACCCCCCAGGGAGATGGAGGCATGGTGTTTGGTGCCCCCAGCCCACCCCGGGCACCTGGCTTCCACCCCCAGGGCTCTGGGCAGATGCACCCAGGTGTCCGGGAGGTCTCCCATCCTTCCGCAGCCCGGTCCATGCCTGGTCAGGGTCTGCGAGCCCAGCTGCCCCCAGCCCCGCACCTGCACAAGGCGGGTCTGGGGAGCTGGGCCCGCCATGACCTGGACCAAGCTGCCGCATCTCCCTCATCTCCATGGGGCCCCTGGGACCCCAGCAGGTCCTGCACTTCCTGTCCCAAACAGCAGAGAGGGTCCCACCCCAGAGGTGGCTGCATCTGCCCGGGGGCTCCAGGCGGCCTCAGTGACTCCCTGCCCGTGAGACCATGCCAGGAGCAAAGGACGACCTGGCGCTGGGCGCTGGCCTGGACCTGGGCAGCGGGGTGCCCCATGCCAGAGGGGGCTGTGCAGAGCAGTGGTTAGAGCAGGGGTGGGGCAGCCAGGACAAGGCCTGACCTCACAGGTGCTGCCGGGGACCACATTACATATATGACGCAGTAAACCACGCAATGAATGCAGGACGTCCATGCCTGATTATCATGTGGCAAAAGTGGTCGTCCAGCTACAAAATGCTGGTGCTGGAGAGCAGGCGATGGGTCCTGAGCCAGGTAAGCGCGGAGCAGGCCTGGCCACACGTTACATATATGACGCAGCTGATGGGCAAACCACACAGTCAGTGGAGACTAGCCGCATGGGCAACATGATTACCACACAATTCGCTGGCTCAAGGTGCAGTGGGTTGGTCTGGGAGGGTCTGGACGGGGCTGATCCTGCCTGGGGCCAGGCTGGGACTGGATGTGACCCCACAGGTCCTGGGATTCTCCAGGATGCCCTGAGTGCCCGGGCTCCCAGCACCCCCAGGGCCAGGCCCTTCCTCTCAGGGGGCGAGGGAGCAATATCCACTGGCAATAGCTCCCAGTTCCGAGGATAACAACCTGCCACTGCTGCTCCCAGCTCCAGCCTCGGGTCCTGCATTCACCCCACAGCCACCGCGGTCGTGGGGGGGTTACAGCAGGGGACGGGGCTGAAGTGCAAAGCTCTTCCCTGCTCCCCCTTGCCTGTGTCCTCCCAGTGACAGCCCCCCCCCCCCGGAAAGACCCTGCCCCAAAAGCTGCCCTGGGCTCAAGCCCCCTGAGCCCCCTGTGTCTCCTCCAGCCTAAAGGCCCCGTTGTACCCGTGTGATGCCCGCCAGGAACCCGACTATGGCGCTGGGCTCCTGGACCCTGCAGCGTCGGGGGGTGCTGATGTGACCCCATAGGCCCCATGGCGCTGAGGCTGCAGGAGGCTCATCCTGACTCTGCCACCAACTCTGTGCCTGGCCCTGGTCCAGTCCCTTCACTGTGGCGGGCACCTGGTTCTCCCCTCCACAGGGTGGGGGGACAGAAGGGACCCCTGTGTGCATGGGGTGGGGGGTGAAACCCCCTCTGCTACGTGTCCCCCTTCCCTCCCCTGTATCTCCCCCATGTGCCCCCCAGGCCCGCTCCCCCTTGTCTTGCCAGGTCCCCTGAGCAGAGGTGCAGGGGGAGGTCTGCCCGGGACCTGGCAAGACAAGGGGGAGTGGGGCTGGGGCTAGGCTGGGGCTGGGCACGCCCAGGCTGGCCAATTCGGGAGTGCGGCTAGAGGCCTCCAGTGAAGCCAGCACTAGGTGTTGCACGTGCACTCAGCGCTGGGCTGCAGAACGGGCCCATTCAACAGGTGGAAACACTGAGGATGCTGACATGCAGGAGCCCGGCTGGGCATCCTGGGCATTGGGAAGTGCTGAACCAAGACCCCTCCCCACCTCCTGAGGCCCTCCCCTTTGCCCGCACCCGGCTGCAGAAATAGGACCATTCTACAGGCGGAAACACTGAGGATGCTGGCACGCAGGAGCCCAGCTGGGCATCCTGGGTCCAGGGAGAAGCTGAGCGGAGACCTCCCCCGCCCACCCCAGGTGCAGAATGGGCCCATTTTACAAGTGGAAAGAGCAAGGACGCCAGCAAGGAGCAGGCATCCTGGGCACAGTGAGGAGCTGAGCCCAGACCCCTGCCTACCCCTGGCCTGCGCCAGGCTGCAGAACGGGCCCATTCTTCAGACGAAAACACCGAGGACCCCGGCAAGGAGCGGCCCAGCCAGGCATCCCGGGCACGGGGAGGAGCTGAGCTGAGACCCCTGCCCCCCGCCCGTGCCAGGCGGCAGAATGGGCCCATTCTACAGGCGGAAACAGCGAGGAAGCCGACCCGGGGGAGCCCAGCTGGGCATCCCGGGCACGGGGAGGAACC